TTGCAACCGCGCGGTTCTCTCCTTGGCTGACTTCCTTGAATAAGACACCCTTCAATTTTTACGGTAAGGATTTTAGAAAAAAGTATCGTCTTATAGTTGGAAAAATATGGTACTTATGATAGGCATCAGACAGCCTTCTTATCCACACTAAATGGTCGGCCCTTCAAGTTACTGGAAGGAAAATTCACAATATCCCAAGAAGAAAGCACATATGTCCATGTAGATTACATTTAGCAGAAATAATAGACCCTGTAGTAGTCTGCTGTGCTATTTATGCAGGGCTTCAAAATTGCTATTTAACCCAGGTCAGAGACAACATATGTAAATTTAGTATTGAATTATCAGTTCCCATATGAGGAAATGAGATTGCAAAATTTTGCTCAACCACCATTTATAATGAAATGGATAGAACTTCATATCACTATGTGCCTTCCTATGGATTTCATGAATATAGAACTACTAGTTTCAGTGAGCAAGCTCTGATCTCACAATAGCAGCTTTGCAAATGACTTATTTTCAGAGTGAGATGTAGAATATAATTCATGACTCCTCTGCTTGATGTAAGTGAAGTCTTATTTTTTAAAGGACCTTGTTATTATGTTCCATGTAAGTAAATTGTTCTTACTGCAAAGGGTATATGCAGGAACCTACTTCCTTCACGATATCCTTTAGATGATAGTATTAGTAATAAGTGAAAGGACCCTTAGTCCTAGTCTCTTTACTTCAGAATTAGGATACAATAGGATCTGGAAGAGGGAACCCATTTCTCACTACAACCAGAGTGCCATACAAACATGTCATCTGTCAGAATTACATTCTCAATGGAATATATGCTTGAGATCTGCACTCTACAAATATTTCAAATATTTCTTTAAAAAGACACCATATTTAAAACAGTTTTTAAAAAACAATTACAATTTAATAGAAGCAAATATATTAACTTTTATTTACAAATTATTTAACTGGCAGATATGGCTCAAAACACAGAATCACATCACACTTGTATGGATAACGGATTTTGTATTTTTTTTTTTTTTGGAAACAGACCCCATAAGCCACAATTTTTGCTCCCTTGATTTATACTGTGTGGATCATTTGGTAGTTTTAGTTTAAATTAACATTTAGATCTGATGGACTTAAATAATTTTTTCCAAGCTTACTAACCTAGCTGAAACAGAACTAATATCAGATATTGATTGATTGATTGTATCACACCTTACAGTATAAAAGTCTAAGGGCAGGACCTGTCTTATTCAAGCAAGTTAATGAGATAGGAACATATAATTCTCATTTCTATATCATATTACACTTGACTTTGCCAAACAGTATTTCTCATTAAACTGCTATATGTAAGGTCAGATATATTTTTGTACATAATTACATCTGTATTTTTCAGGGAGCACTATAGGACACTGCAGCTCCAGAAGATTAAATTGTTCTGTTTATGTTATATATTCACACACTTGGTATGAATTTAGGAGCATCCAGAAGACATCACTTAGCTACAATAGGGAAAATTGAGTACATCTCATGTTTTCTTAAGAGTAGATTCTCACTAGCCATTACCTCTCCTGTGATGTTCCTTAATTCTCTCAATGTTTCATCTTAACTATAAAATCAATCATACATTTTGATTTACTCCCTTTCCATGTGTACATGTGAGTAGACTTGTTTAAACCACTTATTCAAAACAAATAGAACTTTTTCTAAGCAGTTATTCACCGTTAATCATTCTTATTTATTCTTGGGTCTCTGAATGGTCCAGTCACTTTTTCTGTATCATTTTAACTTGTTACCTCTCATCAGTTAATGTTACCTGACAGACTAACTTTCTCCCCCCGATGGCATTTATTTAGAATGTTGTATATATATTTTTTCCAAAATCATTTTTGGTTCTTCCATTATCACCATTTACTGGAAGGCATAGTGCAACTATTAATAGCCTATGGACTCCTATTTTCATATGCACCCAATAAGAATCTACATGACACCAGTTCATATTTTAGCCCTTTCATTCATACTTAAAGCTACATCTTTATTTCTGTACAAGTAGCCATCAACTCCACAAGATCAGGCTCTTGTCTCTATATCCTTCCTCTTTTTCTTAGTTTCACAACATATCTATGTTCAGAAACACAAAGCATCTATTTTTTGTTGTAATTTCATGCATTAATTCATGCTCTTTATCATTCACACCTCTTACATTCTAAGTTGCAATTTTCTATATGCCATGGATTTTATCAGATAGGCCCAGATTGCTACTGAACTCTGCCACCCATCACATTATTAGTCACTTGAGACTTACAAAACATTTAATAAGTGAAGGCTAAGTTACCAGCCTTAATCACACCTGTATCATATTCAGCAATCCTAAGTGACTTTCCCAGCTGTAATGTGCAATTATGAATTCCCTCCCCTCAATTTTCACTTTATTTTGTTGCCGCTTCACACCTCTTTGGGGACCTTTGTTAATGTAAAAATATTTTATTATGGTTGATTTTATAGTAATTGCACTGACTTTGAATAACAGGTTTGTTTAGGTGTATTTGTTGCATATTATTTACCATACCACAGTCAATAGATACTGGTCAACTTAGAAACATCCTGATAAACTTCTACAATTCTGTTTTTACCTTTCAAGAACTGTTCGTTCTAAGAAGTTCTATGGTATCTGTGCTTCAAAGGCTAACTATTTCAAATATGAACTTATAAAAGGTTGTCTTTTATTTGCTTCTCCTTCGAAGCAATAACTATCCGAAGCCATTACAATGCTAAACGGATTAAGAGTGCATACGACGCAGCAACATACATTCTCATTTAAAGATCACATGCGAACTTTTCCTAAGCATATTAATTCCAAAATGAATCTCAACTTTGATGGGACTGTCTCCCTAATAATGGTCACAGTCCTAACTGCCTCGGCACTATTTCTGCTGCCCCATGACTCCAAGCAAACTGCTCCCCCCGCGCGCTTCGCGTCTCTGAAGAGAGTGATCAGCCCAGGGAAGACGATTCCTTTTGCATGGGATCTGCGGCGTCCCCTCGCGGCCCCCAGTGGAATGATTCTAAGGTTTCATAAAAATCGCTCGCTCGCGGAACTTTGAGGGTAAAATTCAAGCGAAAACTACAATCAGCGAGAGTGAAACAGTTGGAGGGAGTCGAGAAGAGCGGCGCGGAACGAGAAAGGAGTCCGAAGCAGACTACATAAGTCCGCCGAGGCCTAAGAAAATGGAGGATAAAGGGAAGGAAGGAGCCACAAGCGCCAAAGGAGGCGGCGACCGCCCGGTGCCCTCCCACCTTGGGAAAGGCGCTGAAGGGGTGTGTCCCAGCCCGCATAATACGTACGCGCCCTCACCTGGCGGCTGCCAGCCTCCCTAGTAGGTGGATATAAAGTCCTCTACTGAACAGCGAGAGTCCTTGGAGAGAAAAAGAGAACGTAGAGCTTAACGGCAACGCGAACTAACCGCCTTTAGCGACGGTTGCAGGCGGGAGGACAAGGCGACGTTCCAAATCCCTCCCCCCCGTCCTGTTGGGAGGCGCGAAGATCGAGGCGCCAACGGCTACCATTGGGCAAGGCACAGCGTTTGAATCGCTCCTAACGCCCATTGATTGGCTGCAAGTGGGTGGCGCGTTCCTCCCTCTCATCCCTCCGAGTTTCGCACCAAGTTCTGCCTCCGGTTTAGCCAATGACATAGTTCACTCGAGGAAAATAAAAAGAAAGCCTCTGTTGCTGGACGGCGTCAAGTACTCGCGCCTCTTCAGTTGGGCGGGTGTAATTTCCCATGTTTAAAAATTCCCAGGTCTAAATAGCGAAAAATAATAAATTCCCTCGTTTCTGTTACCACTGATCCGCGGATGTGCAGGGACCACGGAGGATCATAGTACAAAGTCTGAGAATAGATGGGGGAGGATTCCGTTTTTTCCTCCTCAAAGAACACCGTGGCTAGGTTTGCCTACGCCACAAGCGGTTCGGCTTACGGACGTGCTAAACCGAAAACCAAACAAACCATACTGTGGATTAGTAGAATGTGTGAATCCAGAAACTGATTTATGAAGAGGGGTTAATGGCTGGGGATAGGCAGACAATCATGATTAATTCTGAAAACATTGTAAAACAAGCCGTGACTTGGCACGTGTGAATGCCATTGGGACATTTGTGAACACAGTGGCTGTGTTCACAAATCATAATTTTTAAATCCTCGTTTAGTATTTTATTTAAATGCAGCCATAAATTAGGATGAGAGCCAGTTTGGTGTAGTAGTGGCTAAGGTACCAGGGTAGAGACTGGAAGTTCTAGTCCTGCCTTCAACATGAAGCCAGCTGGGTGACCTTGGGCCAATCACTTTCTCTCAGCCCTAGGAAGCAGGCAATGGCAAACCACTTCCCAAAATCTTGCCAAAAAACTGCAAGGACTTGTCCAGGCAGTCACCAGGAGTCAACACTGACTTGAAGGCACACAAAAAAAAAAAGGATGCCTCTAGTCCAGTCCCTGATTCAACCAGTAAATAAAAGATAAAGTAAATAAAGTAGATAAAGTAAATATTGTACCTCTACACACATTTTCAAATAAGAGTACAATTCTATCAATGCCTAATCCAGGCTATTAATGTCAACAGGGCTTATAGCTAAGTAAATGTATTCAGGAATGGATCTTAAAAATATGGATTTTGACACATTTTTGTTCAATAACAAATCTCATACAAGCTGATACTGTTCCATAACTTACTGTCCTCCAGATAAGTTAGGCTAAAACTACCATTATTCTTCGAACTCCAGCTTGAGAAAAGCTGGTATAAAATGGGTACAAACTCATTTCATTAAAATTGTTCCTTCCAGGATGCTTAGTATAATTATTGGGAACTAAATGGGCTGTCAAATTCAGTGTCCTCAATTTCCAGAAGCCACTGCTATTCTAAGATCTGGTTAGCACACTAACCAGCTTTTTTCTTCTTCTACAATTGGAATTCCTTCCAGGACTAAAGGTGTCACACTGATGGTTCTCTGTACTCCTGTTTTCACTATAGCCTGGTTATGATCTCTCCCCAGGCTTGCCAGTAGCATTAATGGAAAAGGACAAGACAAGTCAAGAGAGCCAGCTGGAAAGAAGGCATGCAGCAAACTCCAGCTGAGCAATGGAGGAAGACAGTGCAGCATTGTTTGGCAGGCAGTGTTCAGTGACAGCAGTGAGAAGTAAGGAGTGTTAGCTGAGCCTTTGGAGAGATCCAAAGCACTGATGAGCCATAGCACCAAAGGGATCCAGATACAGATCACCAGGGGGTTGAGATGTGGGTTAGTGATCTGGCTGAAAGGAAGGGTGACGCCCAGCAGAAGACCTGGGAATGGCAGCAGTTGAGAGCGTGCACTGACAGAGTCAGGAGTAGCAACAAAACTGGAATGCAGGCTAATAAGCATCAAGTAATGGGTCATTCTGTGAAGAAGAGCTTCTAGGCAGTGTCAATGTAGCAGCCGAATAACAGGCTGGTAGCTGCAGCCTGGACAGTGGGCCAGCCTAATGCCAGCAATAGAGACAAGCAGCTTGTGTAAGCTGAGATGGAGAAGGCCTCACTAGGCCTAGAAGATGCAGCCTCACTGATGATGACAAGTGATCCCAGCAGTGGTCCCAGCTGAGCCAGCTCATAACAGAGATCAGCCTCAGCAACAAAGGGAGCCAGGGCAGTGGAGCTGGCATAAAGTTTAGATACAACTGAGAAGCTGGAATAGATTGTTCTACTGTATATAACTCTGAATAGAAATAGTCCACACTGAGCTTTCTGGAGTATTGGCTAAGATCAAGAGTACATTTAAAAGAGATAATGCTGTTAATGTTTTAGACTGTAGGTCAGTAACCTGACAAGAGTCTGAGGGAAGGGGGGGGGGGAAACAGCAAACAGAGCAAGAAAGCAAACAATGAACAAAGCTATCTAAAGAAAGCAGACGTACAAAGACAGTAAGTGGCATGATTTAAACCAGATGGAACCAAAACCCAGCTCCAAGGTGAGGTGGACCTAGGTTGATGACATCAACAGTGGAAGCAGAGACCAGTGGGATTCAGCTGAGGCAGAAGGAGTGTTATAAAAAGGAAGGGTTGATAGGAAACTGGTTGGGAAACAATATGTGTATGTGTAACACAGGGGTCGGGAACCTTTTTGTCTGAGAGCCATGAACGCCACATATTTTAAAATGTAATTCCGTGAGAGCCATACAATATG